AATTTTGTCAAAATTTTCAGAGATGGTAGGGATAATTGGTGGTGATAGCAGTCTTCAATGGTGGTGGTCATCTGTAGCAATAGTTAGTGGTGGTCTTTGACATCGATAAATGGAAAATGCAAGAAAACTATTTTATTTCTCTCATTTCTCTCTCTCTCTCTCTCATGTGAATTCTTCCAACTTCCACCATGTAATATGCTCTATACAATGTATATTTACTATATCAAGCTAAGGCCTCCCCCGGTGGAAGGATCTTATTTGTAATAAAAAATAAACATTAATTTAAACAATTCAACTAAGTTATGCCCCGTGATTTTTTTTCTCTTTTTAAAATTTTCTACATAAAAGTATTGGTGTCATTTATAACTATCGTCTTTTATTTCTTTATTTATATGTGTGTTTGATTTTAGTTCAAAACTAAGATGTTAAGTTTCTTATCTCTCTACCACTATAAATATTTTGGTCTTCAACAACCCTTAAATCAAAACAAATTTGAATTAAAATGGTCAAATTAATTCAAAAATCTTTTATAACAAAATATTGTTAAAAAAACAAATGTTAATAAATTCAATCTTGATTTATAATTTAGATGGCGTGTTAAACAAGTTGGTTTTTTTTTTTTTTTTTTTTTTGGAACTATTAGTTGGATTTATGATTTGTATTCAATTTTAACGGTGCCACAGAAAAGCTAAGAGATCGGGAGGCGGGACAATAAATTGGCCCACGTGTGGTGCACTGCGCACGAGCGAGAAGGTGGAATAATGAAACGCCGTCTACTTTGGATTCCCGTCCGACGCAGCCATGGACAGGCTGTACCCAGGTGGATTCAACCCGCCATCCCAATTCATTTAATAAATGAAGTCTTCCGCTGGAATTCCAAATCGTATCCAACAAGTGATCCATGGACACTAATATGATTCTCCATTCACCTTCTTGTTTGCTTTGAGATTCGTTTTTCATCTTTTCTAATATTTCTAGTCGTCTTTAGAAGATCCATCATCATAATCATCACAATTAGCCTCATTTTAGTTATGAAGATGAGTATAATATATATATATATATATATATATATATATATATAAAATAAAATCAATAATAAATTTACTTCAAAACAAATCAAATTAATAAGAGACACAAAATGAATAATATTTGGTCAAGAGATATGAGCTTTTTTTTTTTCCAATTTTTATTAGTTATGTTGAATGTGTAAAGCTTGATTTTCATGAATTATTTTGAACAGTTTCAATCCATGTAATCTTAGGCGTATAATATTTCCTTTGTAATCTCTTGGCACTTACTTTATCAGCTCATCAAACATACTAATTTTCTATCATTTGTTGCACATGTATGAATCATATAAGTCTTATTAAGTACTACAAAATTTATGGTAGCATAGAAATTATGTTAATAAATAATTTTGTACTAAAATGTAACATTCAAAAATAAAAGTTGTAATATACACTATTTTAACGTGAAAATTTTAAAAATGGAAGAATCATGTTGGATGGCCCAGTTATAATATTTTGTTATATAAATCAAGATACAAAAAATTCTCTTTTTCCCAAAACTAAAGAATATATATGAGATTATGTAATTGATAATAATTATCTAATTTATGTTATAAGGATTATATAAGTTGATTGTTCATTGGCGAATAGTTGAAGTCCAACAATGAGCTTGGATATTAGTAATCAAAGATGAAGTGCATAAACTTAAAAAGCTGAGAAGAATACAAGGCATGCATGGCTTGCTGAAAATAGTAAGTATTTTATTACTTGTTTGCTTCTAGCATACATAGGTATATATAGATGATAAATACAAGTATGATGTGATCATGTGTGTGGTGAGAATTGTTTTTTGTTTATTAGGCAATTTTGGAGAGGATAGAAGGACGTGATGTGAGCACGGTTCCTCATGTGAGCAAGCTCTTATGTTAGTCCCCTTCAAACTGTAAATTCAAGTTGTTAGGGTTACAATTTGTCTCGTATTTATTGGAATCTGGAGGCTAAAAGACTCTTCGTAAGTATATCATCTTGCTAATCGGTGGTGGTTATCTGGTGAATAGTTAGGGATTTGGATATAATGTGGCGAGCACTTTCTATTCGTCCTTAATGAATGATCGGGAGATCGTTTTCTGCTCTCCACTTTCTAGAGGATAGGGGTAGCTGCCAAGGAAGAAGTAGTAAACTGAGATTGAGCATCGATCTATCGGGTTGTTGTTCCAATTTATGTTGGTAAATGCTTTTGAGGTTCAGGTTGTGTCAAGAGATGGTGATACCCAAGTTGCTTGTCCCCTTAAGATAGCGCAGAACCCTTTTAATCATTTGAAAATTCATTTCAAAGGGGGATTACACTGAGGGGATTACACTGATTGGCAGATTTGATTCACTGTGAATGTTGTCTGGTTGAGTAAATGTTAAGTATTATATAGTGAGCAGGCAAGCTTGTGATATTTGGTGTGTTCCGAAAATGGGGTTGAGTTGTCAGGTATGTTTGGTTTATGAGAAATGGGAGAGAGGTTCGTTGTTGAGCATTATGGAGTTATTTATAAGATTGAGGATGTAGGATTGCTAGTTTAGGAGATATTTGATTGTTGATTTTGTGAATTTTGATGTCGCGGAAGGTAGATATGGGTCTTAGTTATTTGAGATTAAAATTGGTGTGAAGTTGTGAGATGAGATTTTTTATGAATTGTGGGTTGTCATTGGTAAGTAATATCGTCGACGTATATCAGAAGATATGTGTGGGTGTAATTGATTTTATGTAGTAGTAAAGAAGGGTCGGTGGAGCTGGCCTTGAATATAAGGGTTGTAAGGTGTTGGGCGAAGTTGGAGTACCATTGGCGAGGAGATTGTTTGAGATATAAAACTTTTTTGGAGTTAACGCACATGATCGTGGTGTTCTGTAATCTTGAAGTTGGGCGGTTATGTCAAGTAGCCCGTGTCGTTGCAATTGCGTGGAGGAATGAGTTAGAGATATCATGTTGATGAATTGTCTAATCGGGGTGAGTAACAAGAGCTGTGAGAGCACAAATCGTGGGTATCTTAGCTACAGAACTGAATATTTCTTCGTGGTTTATGCCATATTCTTGAGTGTGGCCTTGAGCTACTAGTCTAGCTTTGTATTGAGTGATAGATGCGTCAGGGTTCATTTTGTTTTGTAGATCCACTGACATCTAATGATTGGATAATTAGTAGGAGGAAGAACTAGGATCCAAATATCTTATTGTTGAAAAGCCATGAATTTCTCTGACATAGCTATTCTCCAATGGACGACTTTGTGGGATTATGAAAGTGAGGTGGGATTGATTGGATATATATGATGATGGAGGTTAAGGAACAATTTGAAACTTAATGATCATGGACTATTTGATGAAATTAGGTGGGGGAGAGGAGTCAATGGATGACGTTAATTGGATGTGAGGTGGTTTTGAGGGGTATGAATTTGATTGCGTGGGGGAGGGGGGGTGTTGGGAGGTATATATGGGGTGGTAAGTGGGTGTGAGATGGGAGAGATTATTCTGTGTGGATATTGGACATAGCTTACTGTCCATAGGCGAATCAGGTGCAACCACGTCAACCAGTACCAAGCCGCGGTACCGAGTAGGGGGTGATGTGGCATATGTGGCTTATTTTCATTGGGCTCTTGACGGTGTTCAGCATCCGCACAAAATAATTAATCATGAAATAGGGAGCTGGGCTAGGCTCTGTGGTTTTTTCCCTTTCTGGGTCTTCCACGTAAAAAAATATTGTGTTCTTTGTGTGTGAGCTGGATATCCGTGCATGCTAAGACATAGAATTATAACTCTATCGCCGCGTATATTCTAGCCCGCAACAATTATATTTCATTATTATGTTAATTTTATTAATTTTGAATAATAATAATATTATTTATTACGTCATCCAGTTCGACCCCGATTCGAACGGTCGAACCGATCGAACCTTAAATCTCTCATTCTTTCGGTTCGTTGTCCGGTCCAGTTTTCATAACCTTGGTTTCAATCATGAAATTATATTAACGAATTTATTTTCATGATCAAACTATATAAGAAATATTCAATTCATCCCTAAGGATGAAAAGAATATTCACTTAGTATTTAATTATGAAACTATATAAGTAAAACTCTTTTTAAGTTTTAAAGCATGAAAAAATGTTTTTCAACATTGCATGACAATGCGTCCCTTATCGCTTGATTACGATCCTCCTACTTATGTCGGTCAAGTATGATTCTTCGATCTCTATCATCGAATTACAGTTCTGTAATTGCTATTGTCATGATTAGGGTTAAAGGATCGTAGTCGACGAAAATAGTTAGAGGACTATAGTCTAATTTCGATGGCAACAGTCGAACGATGTTTTGATTGCAAAACTCATAAGGATTTTAAATGGTAGCAATCGAGCATCAATGATCTAATAGTGACAGACAAGCAAATATCTAATTAATAATGATAGTTGAATGGTGACCCAACAATATTGGTCCAACATTGTTCTGATAATGTTGATCTGAGTGATGGTTTCATAATGACGATCACATGGTCATCGGATGATGGCAATCAGGCGGTGTTCTGATTGTAGAGATCAAGTGGTGGTTCAACGGCGATGATCACACTTGTTAGAAGTTGATCTAATGGTGATTCATTTATGGTGCTTGGGTGGTGCTCTAAGATTCATAAAGCCTCTATGCTTGCTTGAATTTAAAATTAATATCATATTTTTTCATGTAATTAGTGAGAATTTATTTATAAATTTAATTATAAAATTTCTTATTCGAATATACGTTAATATTCATGTAGTCATGTTCGATCAATTCCCTAACAAATAAACATGTAATAGACTATATTTTTCGCTAAACATTCTTCTTGCTAATTTATCATTAGAGTGAGACTAAAAGAAAGAGTAGCGAAGCGGTAGAGGCCTGGAGCGGAGTTGGAAACCTGGAACCGTTGGCTCCAACTTTTCTCTACTATAAAAAATCTTATCTGGCGTACGTGGGGATCCCCTGGTGGGCCAGTAAAGCCAGCACGTTTCACCATCAATTCCTCCTCTTCCAGCCTGTTCAACCTCCCTCTGCTCCTCTCTTAAATTCCCAAAATCCCTTCTCATCTCCAGACCTCGTCTTCCTCTTTACCTCAAACCCTAACCCTAATTCGACAAGTTCAACACTACCGCGTTGGTCTCCTCATCGAGATGGACCCGTGCTCCTTCGTCCGGGTCCTCGTTGGTAACCTCGCTCTCAAGATACCTGTCGCCTCCCGACCCGACCGCTCCGGCGTCCACCCTTCATCCACTCCCTGCTACTGCAAGATAACCCTCCACAATCTGCCTTGCCAAACCGCTCCCCTCCCTATCCTTCCTTCGGAGGAAACCAGCGCCGGCGTCGTCGCCGAGTCCGGCCTCGCCTCCGTCTTCCACCTTAGCCGCGTTGAACTAGAGCGGCTCGCGGCTAAGTCGATTTTTGCTGGTAAGGCGAAGCTGAAGGTCGCTATTTACACAGGGCGGCGCGGCACCTCCTGCGGGATAAACTCTGGTCGTCTACTTGGGAAAGTGAAGGTGCCGCTGGATCTGAAGGCGGCGGATGGGAAGGCCGTGGTGTTCCATTCTGGCTGGGTTGCAATTGGTAAGTCGAGCAAAGGATCATCAGCACAGGTCCACATTACTGTGAAATCGGAGCCAGATCCCAGATTTGTCTTTGAATTCGGCGGCGAACCGGAGTGCAGTCCCCATGTTTTCCAGATACAGGGTAATCTGCGTCAGCCAGTCTTCACTTGCAAATTCTCTTGCCGTAATCCCGCCGCCGATCGCAGTGTCCGATCCAGGTACTATTCGATCCGTATATGCTAGTGTTTCAATATGCTTAAAGGTGCATGCACTGATGCGGATCTAATCGAATCTCTTTGGCTACAGGTCTATGCCAACAGATATGGGAAGCGGGAGGAGCTGGCTAAAGGCATTCGGATCGGAGAGGGAGAAACTTACTAAGGAGAGGAAGGGGTGGTCGGTTACTGTCCACGATCTCTCCGGCTCTCCGGCAGCGATGGCGTCGATGGTGACACCCTTCGTCGCCTCCCCAGGAACCGACCGGGTGAGCCGTAGCAACCCGGGCGCCTGGCTCATCCTCCGCCCCGGTGACGGCACCTGGAAGCCATGGGGCCGCCTCGAGGCATGGCGTGAGCGTGGCGGCGGAAACGGTAGCGACGCTCTTGGTTACCGCTTCGAACTCCTTCCCGACGTGACCACAATGACTCCCTCTGCCGTCGGCGTCTCTTTAGCTGAGTCCGCCATTAGCCTTTCCAAGGGTGGTCACTTCCTCATTGACCTTACCTCCACCGCCGGCAGCCGCGGATGCTCCCCCGGTGGCAGCCCGAGAAGCAGCGGAGACTTCGGATACGGTCTTTGGCCATTCGCCGCCTATCGAGGGTTCGTGATGTCGTCGACGGTCGCCGGTGAGGGACGGCCTGCTAGCCGGCCAGTTGTGGAGATCGGCGTACAGCACGTAGGTTGCACGGAAGACGCGGCGGCGTTTGTTGCGCTCTCGGCAGCTATCGACCTTAGCGTCGACGCCTGTCGCTTGTTTTCAGGTAAGCTTCGGAAGGAGTTGCAACCGCAAGCAGGCGCCGGTGATGGCGGGTTCATGTGACGTGGGTGCAGTTCTGGGTGGTTTTTATTTTATCGGATTTTAATGTATATTAACAGTAGAGAGGTTAGCTTTGATTATTGTGCGGTTGGTTATTCTGGTGGTGGGAACTGGGAAGTGTACAGTGAACGTTGGTAATTTTGGGTGTGTTATTTTGCTGGAGAGAGTTAGGATTAGTACCATGATTTGTGCAATAAGATGTTTCTTTTGTATTAATTATTGTGTTAATTTAGAACTAATCATAATCAATATTTTATGAGGATGGTGGGGCCCAAGCACGTGGTCTTCGGCCTGCTCGTATTGTAACAACGGGGCTGAGGCTGTTTTAGGGGAATCCAAAGGGTATCAAATTGTCGCGGTGTGGGTTCAGTGGCCCCCACTGAAAGCTGGGGCATCGGTGATTGGATGGATCAGGGTGGCGGTGGGTGAAGACAGGAGGATGAGTTTTATTTATTAGTTTGTTTGGGTGTGGTTAGTAGTCTAATGATGATAATTATGGTGGGGACTTGTTGGGGTTTGCCAGCTAAAAGTGTCTCCCTGACAGTGCTTTGTATGATATGATTGGTTAAGGATCGTTGAGTGAGGGTTGCGAGTGGGCCCGGTCTAATATCTGGCTTAGCTGTATCCTTACTAGCACTGAGCTGGTTCAGCTTATAGCTGTCGTAGGGTTGTGTGGGTGTGTGTGGGTGTGCGTGTGGAGGTTGGCATCATTTCATATCATATTACAAAAACAATTGCAGTTTGCGTTTAATAAAATTTATTAGAAGGATAATTTTATCTTAAAAAATAATTTGGGGAAAGTTATTATAGAGCTTATAGTCAAAACTGTATAAAATATTATTGAGCAACTTTGACAATTTTTCGGTGATGAATATTTTAACATAATTATTTTTTGATATTTTGAAATTTCTTAAGTAAAAGCTATCATTATATAAATTGAAACATTGAGATTCCTTATATGCTCTCTATTTTCACATTTCTACTTTTCCTTTCTCTACTTCTTTCTCAATACTGCTCCCTAGGTATCCGAGCATACTACCTAACCTAACCGTCTTCACTCATACCTTCTTCTCAAGCGGAGAAATTATTCTGTGCGGACACCGGATCGTTCGGAGGAGAATTATAATGCGTCACATCTCCCAGTACACAATTGCAGTACACAACAAACGGGTGACATGACGTGTTCCGATTCGCCTCCGGATGACGTCTGTATTCGCATAGAATAATTTCACCCTCTAGCGACTATGAATGCACCTCAAGAGTAATCAATGAATGATGGCGGGAGCCCACAACTCTTATAACTCTGTCATGGAGTTACTATATCTGGTCCCTTGAAGCTTCTCATGAAAAATCTCTAACACATTGTAAGCAACCAACTCACCTCCAAAAACTATCCCATTTGATCCTCAACATTTTCGAAGCTAATGACTTCGAAGGTTTCCTTGATGGCATAACCCTATGAAACTTAAATAAAATGATGTCGACCTCCTACTATCAAACTCAAAATACTATTGCAAGTCATTGAATAGAATCTTACCTCATCTTTATATATGCTTAATCATCACTTCACCCATCCTCCCTTGTGTCCTAAATTTGAATACAAACTCAATAATTTGGACAAGTTTTGAGGATTGTCTACAGTCAATCAATTGCTCGAGTTATTCAACTTAAAAATATGTTTCATCATAATAGATTAGTCCACGAACACCTACCTCTCTTAAATAAAAACTATCATTAACAACCTTATAGCCATTGACTCTCATATAGACCATGAATATATTATTTTTTATATCCTCAATGGGTTGCCTCTTACCTACCAATGATTAAAAAAAAAAACACCCATTAGCATTGATGACTTATATTCCTTTGTAATGAAGAAACAAATATAGTAGATACTCAATTCAAACTTCAATAATCTCTAAACCCAACTTGCACTAGCCTCAAAAAGCAACTGCAACCCCTCCTTACCTTCTCATAGGCGTGGCCATTTCACTCTAAATAATGGTAGCTCCTCTCCAAATCAGCATCCTCATGAATTACATGTCAAATTGTTGAAAAATTTGATCAATTTTCGTTCGTGTGTTGCATTGTGCTAACCTCAATTATCGGCATCCTTCAACTCCACCAACAACATGCTCTATTAGCGCCGACAACAATACATTTGATTGGATCATCGATCAAGGTGCAACAATCCATCTAACCTTTCACATTAATAGACCGTAACATTTAACCCCATGCTTTGGCGCAAAACAAATTCAAGTGGGCAAAGGCAACTCCCTCTCAATCTCCACCATCAAAGAAGGCATGTTACCAACATCCAACTATAAACTCTTTCTTCAAAACCTCCTTCATGTTCCCAAACTATCTTACAACCTCATTTCTATCCTTAAGTTTCTTACTAACAAAAATTGTTCAATTCCTTTTCAACCATCCATATATTAAATTAAGAACCTAATATCCAACAATATACCACTCCAAAGATCTAGTAGTAATGGTCTTAACTCTATTCCCCCCCTAGTGGAGCACATAACATAACTATGAGTCACCTAATTCAACTATTTTGCATAAGCATTTTGATCGTCCGAGCTCCTAAATATTGTTAGTCATCTCTAGAAAATAAAAGAATTTATGTATTTCTTTTCAATCTCCTTTATTTAAACATTATATCTAACAATATACCCTTCCTAGTCCCTTCTATCCTAGAGTTTCATTATTGTTTCTTATTAACGACTTGTCTCAATTTTTGTTGAGTTTTTCTTATGAACAAAATCTAGCACAACTACCAAATTCATTTAATTCAAAATTAGAACTGAACAACACCACCCATATAAAAATTCTATCCTCGATAATGGCAAAAAATACATTAAATTCGCCTTACAAAGTTTTATCTCATCATTCATAATATACTCCATCAACTAGCTGCCCATACACAAACATTTAGAATAATATTATTGAACGAAAACACCATCATCTAATCGAAATAACCAGTATCCTCCTACTCGACGCTCTGTTATCCAATAATATCTTAGCTATTACACTTCAAATTGCCACCAACTTAACTAACTGCCTACCACCATCAACCACTAAGCACAAATCTACATTTCAACTTCTATACAATAAATATCTAACATACACACACCTCAAAGTATTTGGTTAATCTCGCTACCAATTGCTTCACTTCCAATCCTCCTATTCATGGGTTACTCCTCCCATAAAGAATGCAAATCCTATATTCCACACAATAGTAAACTATCATCTCAAGGCAAGTCCTATTTATGAAAGCACCTACCAATGCCATTTAAGAATTCTCTACTTCAACAACTCAATCATTCACCAACTGCACACTTACCCCAAAACCTATTTCCCAATTCTCCCCATACTTGAAACAATCTACATCTCCAATATCAACTCCAGCCTCCAGCCCTTCCACATCTATTTCAACTAAATATCCTCCACTCCCAGAATTCACAAGCTCACCTATCCACTCCACGCCACAAGCTCCCACAAGCCAACTACTCAAATCTAACAAATGCATTTATTAATTTGAGTTGGTTTTCACACATCTTGATTTTATTAGAATCACTATAGTTGGTTAGTTTTGAAAAATTTATATCTAAGAAAAAAATTCAATGAAATTGATTTAGAAGAAAAAACATGTACATCTTTATTCTAGTTTCAGATAGTATGAATCAACTAGCTGTCTTTACTCTTTAGTGTGGCTATTGTGAGTTTTCATCTCTTGAATTTAAATTTAAAATTTGGCATATAAGTGATTTATACTTAGTCACTCAACATGTTAAAAAATAGTTCAAATTACAGTCATGATCATTTTTCGAATTCTATTTTCAATTGATGAGAAGAACTCAATAAATTAAGAACATATTAATTCATGTCCTTGATCAAAATCAAAGTCATGAGTAAATAGTTGAAATAGTTAAAAGCTTTACGAAACTATTTGAGGAGGAAAAGGTCGCCCGAAACATGTATGCTTGTGGTTGAAATAAGCATCTTGATGAGCCAAAGTTAATGAAATTAAGAATGCATTGTTTATAACACTCAACCATATAATCAAATATTTAAAAGTATAGTTGAAATTTTTACAAGACTTTAAGAGGCCAAACATCCTCCAAATCTTGAATGCATGCAGTCAAAACAAGCGCATTAATAAGATGAATCCAACGACCTTTAAATTATTTAATTATAATATCATTAAGTTGTTACAAGAATGTGCAACATTTGTAATGTACGGCGCACAGTAATAAAACATTTAAACATATTCATCTTCCATGATTTTTCTTTTTTTTAGATTTTTTCACAAAAAAATATCCCTAATCTTCTATATGTTGCTTGCATGTATATATATAAAATTTTCATGAAATACTAAACGATAAATTATTTTTATTATCAAAACTATTTTAACAAATAAGTATATATACATTAGTCGCAAGTCACAAATTAGGGCAACTATCATGAAATACTGTGGGTATTGATTTTGTCTTGGTGCCAATTGCCAAGTAGGAAGTTGATATGAAGGCCATGTTCTCAAACAAAAAAAATACATATTAAAAAAATGATTTAAATGGGACAATCATCAAAATTCAACTATGACAGATTGGCATAGTGGCATTCCGGTTTATTATAATGTATATGTATAAATGATAATATTAAATTTCCCAAAAAAAAAAATATTCGGCTGGCTTTGATTATTAATTGGGAACATGCAGGACAGTTCAATCTTGCTTGTTTTAAAATAAAAAAAAAAAAATAAAATAAAATAAACTTGGCATGGACTCGCATTTATTTAAAAAAAAAATTCTAATTTGATTCGAAAAATTTACTTGCATGAAACTATAGCATATTAAAATTTAAAATTTTTGGAGTTAAATAAGGACTATTTGAGTTCTGATTTTAGCAAATTTATAGTTAAATTTAATGTCCCGATAAGATGTACTCAATAATATCAAAAGTGATTTGATCAAAGCCTAAATGAGCCCAAATTAAATACCGGAATAATAGTTAGAACTTTGGACATTGATTGAGGATAAATGATCTCCAAATATTACATGCTTACAGTCAAATTGAGTATCTCAACAAGACAAATTCAACAAAGCTCAAGATCGATTTGTTTCGACATCATTAATGCACTTAAATGATCAAAGAATGTTTTATGATCAAGGGGATTAATATGGGTTGTCCAATCAAGTGTTCTAGATTTT